GACAAGATGACTAACTTGTTCAAAAGGTGAGCTGTGACAAGATGACTAACTTGTTCAAAAGGTGAGCTGTGACACGATGACTAACTTGTTCAAAAGGTGAGAAGGTGTGTGACAAGATGACTAACTTGTTCAAAAGGTGAGAAGGTGTGTGACAAGATGACTAACTTGTTCAAAAGGTGAGAAGGTGTGTGACAAGATGACTAACTTGTTCAAAAGGTGAGAAGGTGTGTGACAAGATGACTAACTTGTTCAAAAGGTGAGCTGTGACAAGATGACTAACTTGTTCAAAAGGTGAGAAGGTGTGTGACAAGATGACTAACTTGTTCAAAAGGTGAGAAGGTGTGTGACAAGATGACTAACTTGTTCAAAAGGTGAGCTGTGACAAGATGGCTAACTTGTTCAAAAGGTGAGAAGGTGTGTGACAAGATGACTAACTTGTTCAAAAGGTGAAATGTGACAAGATGACTAACTTGTTCAAAAGGTGAGAAGGTGTGTGACAAGATGACTAACTTGTTCAAAAGGTGAGCTGTGACAAGATGACTAACTTGTTCAAAAGGTGAGAAGGTGTGTGACAAGATGACTAACTTGTTCAAAAGGGGAGCTGTGACAAGATGACTAACTTGTTCAAAAGGTGAGCTGTGACAAGATGACTAACTTGTTCAAAAGGTGAGATGGTGTGTGACAAGATGACTAACTTGTTCAAAAGGTGAGCTGTGACAAGATGACTAACTTGTTCAAAAGGTGAGATGGTGTGTGACAAGATGACTAACTTGTTCAAAAGGTGAGCTGTGACAAGATGACTAACTTGTTCAAAAGGTGAGAAGGTGTGTGACAAGATGACTAACTTGTTCAAAAGGTGAGCTGTGACAAGATGACTAATTAGTTCAAAAGGTGAGAAGGTGTGTGACAAGATGACTAACTTGTTCAAAAGGTGAGCTGTGACAAGATGACTAACTTGTTCAAAAGGTGAGAAGGTGTGTGACAAGATGACTAACTTGTTCAAAAGGTGAGCTGTGACAAGATGACTAACTTGTTCAAAAGGTGAGCTGTGACAAGATGACTAACTTGTCTCAAAAGGTGAGAAGGTGTGTGACAAGATGACTAACTTGTTCAAAAGGTGAGCTGTGACAAGATGACTAACTTGTTCAAAAGGTGAGAAGGTGTGTGACAAGATGACTAACTTGTTCAAAAGGTGAGATGTGACAAGATGACTAACTTGTTCAAAGGGTGAGATGTGACAAGATGACTAACTTGTTCAAAAGGTGAGATGTGACAAGATGACTAACTTGTTCAAAAGGTGAGAAGGTGTGTGACAAGATGACTAACTTGTTCAAAAGGTGAGAAGGTGTGTGACAAGATGACTAACTTGTTCAAAAGGTGAGATGTGACAAGATGACTAACTTGTTCAAAAGGTGAGAAGGTGTGTGACAAGATGACTAACTTGTTCAAAAGGTGAGCTGTGACAAGATGACTAACTTGTTCAAAAGGTGAGAAGGTGTGTGACAAGATGACTAACTTGTTCAAAAGGTGAGAAGGTGTGTGACAAGATGACTAACTTGTTCAAAAGGTGAGCTGTGACAAGATGACTAACTTGTTCAAAAGGTGAGAAGGTGTGTGACAAGATGACTAACTTGTTCAAAAGGTGAGAAGGTGTGTGACAAGATGACTAACTTGTTCAAAAGGTGAGCTGTGACAAGATGACTAACTTGTTCAAAAGGTGAGAAGGTGTGTGACAAGATGACTAACTTGTTCAAAAGGTGAGAAGGTGTGTGACAAGATGACTAACTTGTTCAAAAGGTGAGCTGTGACAAGATGACTAACTTGTTCAAAAGGTGAGAAGGTGTGTGACAAGATGACTAACTTGTTCAAAAGGTGAGAAGGTGTGTGACAAGATGACTAACTTGTTCAAAAGGTGAGCTGTGACAAGATGACTAACTTGTTCAAAAGGTGAGAAGGTGTGTGACAAGATGACTAACTTGTTCAAAAGGTGAGAAGGTGTGTGACAAGATGACTAACTTGTTCAAAAGGTGAGCTGTGACAAGATGACTAACTTGTTCAAAAGGTGAGAAGGTGTGTGACAAGATGACTAACTTGTTCAAAAGGTGAGAAGGTGTGTGACAAGATGACTAACTTGTTCAAAAGGTGAGCTGTGACACTAACTTGTTCAAAAGGTGAGAAGGTGTGTGACAAGATGACTAACTTGTTCAAAAGGTGAGCTGTGACAAGATGACTAACTTGTTCAAAAGGTGAGAAGGTGTGTGACAAGATGACTAACTTGTTCAAAAGGTGAGCTGTGACAAGATGACTAATTTGTTCAAAAGGTGAGAAGGTGTGTGACAAGATGACTAACTTGTTCAAAAGGTGAGCTGTGACAAGATGACTAACTTGTTCAAAAGGTGAGAAGGTGTGTGACAAGATGACTAACTTGTTCAAAAGGTGAGATGTGACAAGATGACTAACATGTCTCAAAAGGTGAGAAGGTGTGTGACAAGATGACTAACTTGTCTCAAAAGGTGAGCTGTGACAAGATGACTAACTTGTTCAAAAGGTGAGAAGGTGTGTGACAAGATGACTAACTTGTTCAAAAGGTGAGCTGTGACAAGATGACTAACTTGTTCAAAAGGTGAGAAGGTGTGTGACAAGATGACTAACTTGTTCAAAAGGTGAGATGTGACAAGATGACTAACTTGTTCAAAAGGTGAGAAGGTGTGTGACAAGATGACTAACTTGTTCAAAAGGTGAGATGTGACAAGATGACTAACTTGTTCAAAAGGTGAGAAGGTGTGTGACAAGATGACTAACTTGTTCAAAAGGTGAGATGTGACAAGATGACTAACTTGTTCAAAAGGTGAGAAGGTGTGTGACAAGATGACTAACTTGTTCAAAAGGTGAGATGTGACAAGATGACTAACTTGTTCAAAAGGTGAGAAGGTGTGTGACAAGACGACTAACTTGTTCAAAAGGTGAGCTGTGACAAGATGACTAACTTGTCTCAAAAGGTGAGAAGGTGTGTGACAAGATGACTAACTTGTTCAAAAGGTGAGAAGGTGTGTGACAAGATGACTAACTTGTTCAAAGGTGAGAAGGTGTGTGACAAGATGACTAACTTGTTCAAAAGGTGAGCTGTGACAAGATGACTAACTTGTTCAAAAGGTGAGAAGGTGTGTGACAAGATGACTAACTTGTTCAAAAGGTGAGCTGTGACAAGATGACTAACTTGTTCAAAAGGTGAGAAGGTGTGTGACAAGATGACTAACTTGTTCAAAAGGTGAGCTGTGACAAGATGACTAACTTGTTCAAAAGGTGAGAAGGTGTGTGACAAGATGACTAACTTGTTCAAAAGGTGAGAAGGTGTGTGACAAGATGACTAACTTGTTCAAAAGGTGAGATGTGACAAGATGACTAACTTGTTCAAAAGGTGAGAAGGTGTGTGACAAGATGACTAACTTGTTCAAAAGGTGAGATGTGACAAGATGACTAATGTGTTCAAAAGGTGAGCTGTGACAAGATGACTAACTTGTTCAAAAGGTGAGAAGGTGTGTGACAAGATGACTAACTTGTTCAAAAGGTGAGCTGTGACAAGATGACTAACTTGTTCAAAAGGTGAGCTGTGACAAGATGACTAACTTGTTCAAAAGGTGAGCTGTGACAAGATGACTAACTTGTTCAAATGGTGAGCTGTGACAAGATGACTAACTTGTTCAAAAGGTGAGCTGTGACAAGATGAATAACTTGTTCAAAAGGTGAGATGTGACAAGATGACTAACTTGTTCAAAAGGTGAGCTGTTACAAGATGACTAACTTGTTCAAAAGGTGAGAAGGTGTGTGACAAGATGACTAACTTGTTCAAAAGGTGAGCTGTGACAAGATGACTAACTTGTTCAAAAGGTGAGCTGTGACAAGATGACTAACTTGTTCAAAAGGTGAGCTGTGACAAGATGACTAACTTGTTCAAAAGGTGAGCTGTGACAAGATGACTAACTTGTTCAAAAGGTGAGCTGTGACAAGATGAATAACTTGTTCAAAAGGTGAGATGTGACAAGATGACTAACTTGTTCAAAAGGTGAGAAGGTGTGTGACAAGATGACTAACTTGTTCAAAAGGTGAGCTGTGACAAGATGACTAACTTGTTCAAAAGGTGAGCTGTGACAAGATGACTAACTTGTTCAAAAGGTGAGCTGTGACAAGATGACTAACTTGTTCAAAAGGTGAGAAGGTGTGTGACAAGATGACTAACTTGTTCAAAAGGTGAGAAGGTGTGTGACAAGATGACTAACTTGTTCAAAAGGTGAGATGTGACAAGATGACTAACTTGTTCAAAAGGTGAGAAGGTGTGTGACACGATGACTAACTTGTTCAAAAGGTGAGCTGTGACAAGATGACTAACTTGTTCAAAAGGTGAGCTGTGACAAGATGACTAACTTGTTCAAAAGGTGAGCTGTGACAAGATGACTAATTTGTTCAAAAGGTGAGAAGGTGTGTAACAAGATGACTAACTTGTTCAAAAGGTGAGAAGATGTGTGACAAGATGACTAACTTGTTCAAAAGGTGAGCTGTGACAAGATGACTAACTTGTTCAAAAGGTGAGAAGGTGTGTGACAAGATGACTAACTTGTTCAAAAGGTGAGAAGGTGTGTGACAAGATGACTAACTTGTTCAAAAGGTGAGAAGGTGTGTGACAAGATGACTAACTTGTTCAAAAGGTGAGAAGGTGTGTGACAAGATGACTAACTTGTTCAAAAGGTGAGAAGGTGTGTGACAAGATGACTAACTTGTTCAAAAGGTGAGATGGTGTGTGACAAGATGACTAACTTGTTCAAAAGGTGAGAAGGTGTGTGACAAGATGACCACTTGTTCAAAAGGTGAGAAGGTGTGTGACAAGATGACTAACTTGTTCAAAAGGTGAGCTGTGACAAGATGACAAGTACGACAACAGGAGTAGGAAATCAATCATTACGCTGCTGCAATTAATTAACAAACATCTGAAATCAATAATCGCCTTATAACGGTGTTCGTATAGATTCAGATGATAAGCCACAGATAGTTGATATAGGCTGATCATATAGGCCGATCAGCTGTAGGTTGGAGGAGGGTTGGAGGAAGTGGCCAGCTGTAGGTTGGAGGAGGGTTGGAGGAAGTGGCCAGCTGTAGGTTGGAGGAAGTGGCCAGCTGTAGGTTGGAGGAAGTGGCCAGCTGTAGGTTGGAGGAAGTGGCCAGCTGTAAGTTGGAGGAGGTGGCCAGCTGTAAGTTGGAGGAAGGGTTGGAGGAAGTGGCCAGCTGTAGGTTGGAGGAAGTGGCCAGCTGTAGGTTGGAGGAGGGTTGGAGGAAGTGGCCAGCTGTAGGTTGGAGGAAGTGGCCAGCTGTAGGTTGGAGGAAGTGGCCAGCTGTAGGTTGGAGGAAGTGGCCAGCTGTAGGTTGGATGAAGTGGCCAGCTGTAGGTTGGAGGAGGGTTGGAGTAAGTGGCCAGCTGTAGGTTGGAGGAAGTGGCCAGCTGTAGGTTGGAGGAGGGTTGGAGGAAGTGGCCAGCTGTAGGTTGGAGGAAGTGGCCAGCTGTAGGTTGGAGGAGGGTTGGAGGAAGTGGCCAGCTGTAGGTTGGAGGAAGTGGCCAGCTGTAGGTTGGAGGAAGTGGCCAGCTGTAGGTTGGAGGAAGTGGCCAGCTGTAGGTTGGAGGAAGTGGCCAGCTGTAGGTTGGAGGAAGTGGCCAGCTGTAGATTGGAGGAAGTGGCCAGCTGTAAGTTGGAGGAAGGGTTGGAGGAAGTGGCCAGCTGTAGGTTGGAGGAAGTGGCCAGCTGTAGGTTGGAGGAAGTGGCCAGCTGTAAGTTGGAGGAAGGGTTGGAGGAAGTGGCCAGCTGCAGGTTGGAGGAAGTGGCCAGCTGTAGGTTGGAGGAAGTGGCCAGCTGTAGGTTGGAGGAAGTGGCCAGCTGTAGGTTGGAGGAAGTGGCCAGCTGTAGGTTGGAGGAAGGGTTGGAGGAAGTGGCCAGCTGTAGGTTGGAGGAAGGGTTGGAGGAAGTGGCCAGCTGTAGGTTGGATGAAGTGGCCAGCTGTAGGTTGGAGGAAGGGTTGGAGGAAGGGTTGGAGGAAGGGTTGGAGGAAGTGGCCAGCTGTAGGTTGGAGGAAGTGGCCAGCTGTAGGTTAGATGAAGTGGCTAGGCCAGCTCAGCCATGATAGTGTAGACATGAGCTGCCATCTTTTCTGCAGTGACCTTTGACACGTGTGACCTTTGAAGTGTCCAACCATTAGATTTAGAACGGTGTGCCATAAAAACCAGAGCAGTTCCAGTCAAATAACAAAATGGCTCATGTGTACCAGGGCATCAGGGAGCGGTAAAAATGTGGCGATAGAACGTTTCTACAGCAGAAGTGTAGTGAGGACGTCTCTACCGTTAGAAGAGCTACTTAACAGGTTGTGTACCCCTAGGGTGGGGGAGGGTGGGGCATATGATAAAAAACTAACTATTTTTTATCAAAAGTTAGGAGACGCTACACACGCTAGTATTGTTTCATTTCATTAGTAAATTGATTTCATTGAAATCTTTCTCAATAAGAAAAGATAATGTTTTCTTTATGTCTGCACCGGCCAACAGACCAGACAATCACGATGTTGAGATTAGAAAGTTCTAGATATGAGAGCACGTGGTGACCTTGTGTTGGGCAATCCAAGAGTTCCAAGTGTGGCTGTAAGTAGGGCAAGTACCATCACGTCACGCTCTACAGGTACTTGCTGGCTCTTCAACAGGTGGCCCGATAAACATGGCGCCAAGATGGGCCCTAATCTATAAACAAGGGCCCCACCCACCACCGCAGGGCCCCCATCTATGAGCCCAGGGTGCCCACCCACCAGCCCGAGGCCCCCACCAACCCAAGATACCCACCTACCACCGTCGACCAGCCCAGGACCCCCACCCGGCAGCTAAGGTATGAGACAGTTGCATATTAAAACGACATTACATTTTTTAAAAAACTAAGAAAGTTTCAAATTAAAACGACATTGCATTCTTTCTTCCTTTAAAAAACACGGACAGAAGATTAAAATAATGTCGTCAGTCAATTCAGCCCCCCCCCCCCCCCCCCCCCGAGGTAATTACTGGAACGAGTAACTGCACTTGATGACATTAGTCTAAAGAAAGACGGGATCTGATTGGTTGATAAAGAAATCAATAGACATCAATCATTCGACCAGTCTCATCCCCCCCCCCCCACCCTCACCCTGTCAGAAATAAAGCGAACAGGACAAACGCAAACAATAATTTGTTGGTTTAGAAGCCAGACTTTTTTTTTTGTATCGTAAGCCAGACTTTTTTGTTACTTTCTCGTTTACAGATTAGAGAGGATCTATTGTAATCGTGCAAAAAAAAAAAAAAAAAAAAAAAAAAAAAAAAAAAAAAAAAAAAAAACATGAAATTTTGACAGTTTTCATCGTTTTACTCCTCAGTAGGCCTACTTCATCATATACCAAGTATAGGGGACTTATTTTAATCGGGCATAAATAATAAATGCAGATTTATCAAAACTTCAGCGCTCTATTCGTAACCGAGTCTGAAAAACTAGGTTGAAGAAATTTTCTATACAAGTATTAGATCTATATCAAATATGTAGTTCTGTAAAAAACTTTTCAGCGATTTCCGGTAGCCGGGAGTGGAACTTATTCTACTTTTACAGATAGATGAACGAAATTTTTTTAAAAAGTAAAATATCTAATTCTCTGCCTATTGTCAAATTTTAAGTGATTTCCGTTGACCGGAAGTAGTAATTTACGCTATTTCCGATTTCTCAAAAACGCATGTGAATTTATAAAGTACTAATAATATTCCGCACTATTATACACAATATGCTTGGAGTTCACTTGGTGTGCAATTCTTTTTTTCTACGAGATTTTATTCTATTTTAAAAAGTTTAAGTTATTAAAAATGGATAAAAAATCATGTCTGTATCCCGAGTTGTCATCCACCGTAGTGTAATATAAGAATATTTGACAAAGTTTAGGGGAGATCAGTCTAAAGGCAGGCGTATTTTGTGTCTAAAGGCAGACATTCTTTGTGACTAAAGACCAAAATTATTGTGCCTTAATACAATAATTTTGTGTCTCATGGCATATTTGTGTCCAGAAGTAGACAATTCACCCCCCCCCCCCAAACGGGGGAGTCCCGACCTAGTGCCGCCACTGGTAGGGACGGCAACTCAACCTGTCTAGCAGTCAACAAAGGTATCACGTAGCAAGGTTATCAAGTCGTGACTAAAAGGATCGAGTTCAAACCTCCCAAATTGACGACTCTACCCACTTCTCTAGTTACTACTGGGGTCGGGTTTCAACAAAGTTAGGGGAGAATTTCAAAATATGTGGCACATTTTCACCAACATGTTCATCATAACAAGCTATTTTATGGGAACACGTAGAGATACACACAAACAGGATATACATATATATGTATGATATACTGTATGTATATGGTCACAAGCTGCTGCACTGAGACACCTTCGGCCCTGAGAGATGGGCGTGGTCTTGCTGCTTCGTATCACGTGACCCGAGGGAAGGGATGGAGGGGGTTGAGGGGAGAGTCTGCCCAAAAGTTCCTGACGAAGGTTTACGTAACTGCCGCTGTGGGATGCGGAGACAGCGGGTTCGTGAGTGACGTTAGTTTGGGGGGAAAGGTCAAGGTCGTCTAACCCAAGGTCGCGCACGTGTGGAGCTGCCAGCTCAGCAGGTCTGCACAGTTCCTGGGTCCAACATTCACCGGGGGGGGGGGGATAAGCCAAACAATAAGGGGTGGGGCATGAGTCAAACAATGTGTGGGGGGAGGGGAGGGGGCATACCTATACAAGGCATCAGCTTTATACGGCCCCTATGTAAATTTTGTTACGACACGATTAGGTCAAGCTGCCTTAGATGCTGCCCTATAACACGTTAGAGTGCAACAATAAGGAGATTGTAAGCAGGTCAATCAGACAGCTCTCGTCATGGTCCAGTAAGCAGGTCAATCAGACAGCTCTCGTCATGGTCCAGTAAGCAGGTCAATCAGACAGCTCTCGTCATGGTCCAGTAAGCAGGTCAGTCAGACAGCTCACGTCATGGTCCAGTAAGCAGGTCAGTCAGACAGCTCTCGTCATGGTCCACTGACTCTGATGGGAACAGCTACTCTATTCATCTCAACATCTTCTCACGCTGTCTGTCGTGTGTCGGGATCAGCTACTCTATTCATCTCTACATCTTCTCACGCTGTCTGTAGTGTGTCGTCTAATGGTGGGCTTTAGTCATACAACAGTCTGTCTGTCTTGTGTCGTCTAATGGTGGGCTTCAGTCATACAACAGTCTGTGTCTGACATGTCTCATGGGGCTTCAATCATACAACAGTCTGTCAGTCTGTCTGTCTGTCGTGTGTCGTCTAATGGTGGGCTTCAGTCATACAACAGTTTGTGTCTGTCGTGTGTCATGGGGCTTCAATCATTCAACAGTCTGTGTCTGACATGTCTCATGGGGCTTCAATCATTCAACAGTCTGTGTCTGACATGTCTCATGGGGCTTCAATCATTCAACAGTCTGTCTGTCGTGTGTCATCTAATGGTGGGCTTCAGTCATACAACAGTCTGTGTCTGACATGTCCCACCAGATGGGATATGGAGCATCCACCAGATGGGATATGGAGCATCCACCAGATGGGATATGGAGCATCCACCAGATGGGATATGGAGCATCCACCAGTTGGGATATGGAGCATCCACCAGTTGGGATATGGAGCATCCACCAGTTGGGATATGGAGCATCCACCAGATGGGATATGGAGCATCCACCAGATGGGATATGGAGCATCCACCAGATGATTGGACTAAATTGACACCAAATTAAAATAAAAACAACCCGATGTTAAAGATAATGTACACAATAGTCGGTTCTTAGCTATGTACACAACAGTCGGTCCTTAGCTATGTACATGTACACAATAGTCGGTTCTTAGCTATGTACACAACAGTCGGTCCTTAGCTATGTACATGTACACAACAGTCGGTCCTTAGCTATGTACATGTACACAACAGTCGGTCTTTAGCTATGTACATGTACACAACAGTCGGTCTTTAGCTATGTACATGTACACAACAGTCGGTCCTTAGCTATGTACATGTACACAACAGTCGGTCTTTAGCTATGTACATGTACACAACAGTCGGTCCTTAGCTATGTACATCTACACAACAGTCGGTCTTTAGCTATGTCCACGCGGTCGAAACAAGTCCAATAGACATGACCGAGTTGATAAGAGTCCTTTCATCATATATTTGACGTGGATTTTAAAAAATTGTTTTTTTTTTTTTTTTTTTTTTTTTTTGCAATCAAAGCGATCGTTAAAATAATAAAAAGTAAAAACTTAGGCCTGAAAATAATTCAGAAATATAATACTTTTAGATTTAATATTAAAGATGTTGCAAATTTGGAGAATTTTTAAATATTTTTTTTTAGTTTAAAAATACATTTCTATTTATTTTCATCAAGCCTTAGTTATAACCTGAAGTTTCACTTTTGTGAAATATCTCTTTTACTTTTTTTTAAAATGTTTGCTTAGTTACCGAAAATATTTATTTTAATAATATCATACATGATTTATTAAATATTTAATGGGCCTATCGAATTACTTATCGGTTGTGTTTATTTATCATGCAATAAAGAGCTAATTAATGAGACAAACTAGCTGATTGAGCAGGAGTAAAATACAAGACTTACGCGGTGTAGGGGTGATGTGGATCAATCAACAAGTTGGCTGCTGATCTAACGAGACGATCTGAGAGAACTGAGGACTAGTCCGGTCCTAGGCCCATTTATACTGCTCGATCGCTTACCTCGGCAAATCAACGAATGGGAGGAAAATAACGCGAAGGCTGTCGTTCACAACTAACACGTCCATTTGGTGATCGGTGGCCGTCACATTGTCGTACCACACGGGCCGTCACATTGTCGGTACTTAGATGTACCACGTATGTAACGGGCGTCACATTGTCGGTACTTAGGTGTACCACGTATGTAACGGGCGTCCTATTGTCGGTACTTAGGTGTACCACACTATGTAACGGGCGTCACATTGTCGGTACTTAGGTGTACCACGTATGTAACGGGGCGTCACATTGTCGGCACTTAGGTGTACCACACTATGTAACGGGCGTCCTATTGTCGGTACTTAGGTGTACCACGTATGTAACGGGGAGTCACATTGTCGGCACTTAGGTGTACCACACTATGTAACGGGCGTCCTATTGTCGGTACTTAGGTGTACCACGTATGTAACGGGGCATCACATTGTCGGTACTTAGGTGTACCACGTATGTAACGGGCGTCACATTGTCGATACTTAGGTGTACCACGTATGTAACGGGGCATCACATTGTCGGCACTTAGGTGTACCACGTATGTAACGGGCGTCACATTGTCGATACTTAGGTGTACCACGTATGTAACGGGCGTCACATTGTCGATACTTAGGTGTACCACGTATGTAACGGGGCGTCACATTGTCGGCACTTAGGTGTACCACACTATGTAACGGGCGTCATTGTCGGTACTTAGGTATACCACGTATGTAACGGGCGTCCTATTGTCGGTACTTAGGTGTACCACGTATGTAACGGGCGTCCTATTGTCGGTACTTAGGTGTACCACGTATGTAACGGGCGTCCTATTGTCGGTACTTAGGTGTACCACGTATGTAACGGGCGTCACATTGTCGGTACTTAGGTGTACCACGTATGTAACGGGGCGTCACATTGTCGG